ATTTGAGGGAAAATTTGTATATATATATATAAATCTCTACAATGTATTTGCCTGTTACCTTTTCTTGTTTTCAAATAAATCCTTCTTGATAATAGACATGTCCTTTAGATTAAAATGGATTTATATTTTATCAAATAGTTACATTTGATTTTACTATAATAAATTACTTTTTTAATAAATTCCGAATCGCATCATGCATATCCTTTACTATGGATGGTACATGGTTCTCTGCGTGTGCGGCTTTCATTTCTCCTCCTCCTTTTCTGTTTAGAGTGCTCGAAGAGCAAGAGGTAATCAGAGATGTTTTTTAAAGTTTAAAAAAATATTCAGGACGGTAAGATAAAGTGCAATGTATACTTAATCGCTTGTGAATGACAGCACAATCAAATTTCAACAATGAGTAACGAAAGATCAATTCAAAAGGAACACCGTAATTTTCAAGAAAAAGGCAACTGTAATATTTTAAATATTATTTGATCATTGCATTATTATATTATACATAAATATTATTATATTATCTATGTCTGCATACACGAAAAATAATGAAAACAATAATAATAATTCATTTTGTTTTAAATTTTCACTCCAATAAATGTTTTTTTGTTTCCAAATCTGATACAAAGGTACATATTTTTATATGCGTCCCACGAGATTATAATGTTTTTACGAAGTGACCCACTAGGTCATTTGGATTGGCTATCCCTGGTCTATAGCGTATAGTATAGACTAATAAGTTATGGAGCTTTCAGAACAAGTTTGGTCATATTTCTCGTTCAAGCAATTTCTATGATTCCATACTTAAGTGTTCTTACCCCCTATTTAGTTCAATGCACATCTTCCTTCATTAATCCCCATGATTATCTTTTTCGAAGGTTGGGATCTAAACCTCAAACACAGCCGTTTCTTTTCCAGTTGGACTACAGAATTTTGTAACGTCATTAAAATTTAACAATACTCCCCCTTTCGAGAAAACGCATTTTTTTTTTTTACTTCAGGCTTAATTTGAATTTTCTTTCCCTTCCCGAAAAACGCTTCTACTCGTATTATTTTTTATTTCACATACCGAATTAAGAATTTATTCAAAATTACTTTTCTGTCTCACAATTTTTATTGACTCAACTGGGGGAGTATTTTCAAAGTTTTTACAGGAACACATTCCGTAAGTTTTTTTTTATTTCGTTTTGACGCACTCATATATATTTAAGATATTTTCCAATGGTAGAAGAGGGATTGCTGAAGTACCATTGGGATTTTATAATAATTGTGACCACATGAATTAATTTTATTGGGGAAATAATTCTACTTCATATGTAATAAAAAGATTGTTTGACTTTAGTTGGTGTTTTTTATAGCTTCTGAAAGGTTATTAGCAGTGTATCTTGTAATTTTGAACTACAGTCAAAAATTGAGGTGATATCTGAGTCTTCTACTTTGCTCACTTAAGAACCACATCATTTGTGAAAACTTTTGGGACTAGTTCCATTTAAAATACATTAGCCCCTAATACTCCACAATGCAGGTCTTTATTGGACAGGTTGAACTCTCACCTTGATCTGAATATCGAACGCCAAACACAAATTTCACCATCTTGATCAGTCAATAACCAGGACTTAAGACTAACTCACAGAAAGTGTTAAGAACTCTAAGGGCCCTTAAAAGATATCCGTGCACTCGAAAAAATATCCTTCTTCAAACCAATGCAACTTAGCAATAAAACAAAACAATAATTTAAAATTTTTACCACATGATAATCATATATATTATTTACATTATTTCTCAAATTTTCAGAGAATTTGAGAAAAAATTAAAAAAAGTTATAAAGAAATAAAAATAGGACAAGTTTTTTCAAAAATATGAAAATCAGTATTTTACACCGCGCAGGATTCTGAAGTACAAAATTGATCAAGATTAATTTTACTTGGTATAAAAATGCTCACTTTTGAAATTATACTAAATATTAAAAAATTTAGAGAAAAAAAATATTTTTTAAATACAATTACAACGAAAATTTTAAAATTTTAAGAAAAAAATTAATTAAAATTCAAATAAAAAAAATTCTATTAAATTTTTTTTTGAAAATCCATGTATAAGTTATGAAAAACCTTATTTTGAACATGTATAAAATTTCAAATTGATATCATAAATAGTCCTGTGCGCAAGCTAAAATTTTTTTTGTTTTGCGAAAAATGAAATTAAAAATAAGAAAGAGACAGGGTTTTCGTTTATAAGTTTCACTGCTTATTTCTCAATAACTTTAGAAGTTTTTACAGTATCAACACAATTGTGGTACCAAAATGCTCAGAAATTTTGAGGCTTTAACATATTTGTTTTTCAAAGTTTGAAAATTTGCAATTTTAGAGTCCTGGGAGCTCTTAAAAAATAGATATATTCATGAATACTGTCACAATTGTTATAGCGTGAGTGCTTTATCTTATAATTTTCATAAAAAGTGAAAACAATTTGAGCAAACAAAATTACTCGACTTCCTATATTTATAACATTAAGGTATATAACGCTAAAATTCGAAAAGAAATATCTTTTTCATAACTTTATTTAATTTGATGTTTTTCTTTTATGAAATAATTGGCATATAAAACTAGGAGATATCATATCAAATTATTTTGATTATTCCAATACACCAACAAAGCACTTTAAATGTATATTAGTTGGAGTATCCACCCTTCAGAATAAAATTCAACGAATCAGTTAGCAAGCATATATATGATTTTCATGTCGTTGATCCATATATAGAAAGTTTCCATCATTAAATCGGAAGCAAAGGTAGACCACAGCGCCATGTGACATAATTTGTGCCAGAACTACACTATATGCAACGGAAGTGTAATTTTCCTTCAAGGAAGTAGAGAAAAGACGAAAAAATCGAAAACTCGCTAACTGACAATGAATGTATTTGAAGTGTGCGTAAAATTCTGTAACTAATGTTTTACTTAAGTTTTTTGAAAAAATAGGTTAAAAAAGTTCTTTCTGATGCAGTGTTATTTAGATCGTTAAATGTTTAGAAAACAATAAAATACGTAAGTTAAAAAAACGGAAATTAACGCTTCAATACTTCAAAATTCTCAAAAGAGGAAGTAGATTATCTGTCCCTCTAGATCAGGGGTATCCAACCCACGGCCCGGGGGCCGCATGTGGCCCGCCTTGAATAATTTTTGCGGCCCGCGAGATTCTTTACAACTTTACAAAATTCGACTGTTTTGTACAATATTTTTGTTCAAAGATTTTTTTTTAGTAAAAAATAAATCCTATAACTACTATTATTTTATCACTTTGCTTCTGTTACTGCGAATCCTTATTTTTTCTAAATAAAATTTATCCAACATAAATCGTGCACAAATTTAACGCACGAAAAATACATATACACACAAATACACATGCATTGAGATCAACTTGCAAAAACTAAGTGAAAGAGTTGAGAAACAGATATCTCACTAATTAAATAAATTAAACAATGTTTGATCATTGCATTATTATTATTATCATATTATCTATGTTTGTATACATGAAAAAAAAAATGAAAACAATAATAATATATCAGTCTGTTTTAAATTTTCACTCCAACAAATGTTTGTAATGGATCCAAATCTAATATAAAGATATATATTTTTATATGCGGCCCGTGGGATTGTAAAGTTCTTCCGAAGTGGCCCGCGAGATCATTTGAGTGGTATAGGTATCGGATCGTCACGAGTTCGAGCCCAGTACCACTAAAGACCCGCCGTATAGGGCAGCGAAGCACGTTAAATCTGTCGAGAGCTGAAACGTCCTCCCGTTGGTGTGGAGTGGTAGTTAGGAGAGGGGGTGCCAGCTCAGGTGTCGTCCACGTCACTTGACCATGGTTCAAAATTGCGTGGTACGTTGCCAAAAGCCCTCGTGTAGCTGAACAGCTCGACGTTAATATTCAATCAATCAATCAATCAATCAATCAAGTATCAGAATCTTGTGACCCTTCATTTGAGGGTTTTTTTTTCTTGTGTTGAAGATGGATAAAATTAATTCCCGTACATCAAAAGTATCACACGGGAATTACAGAAGTAAGTAAATCAAACAAAAAAAGATAATTAAAATAAAGGAAGAATAACAAAACATAAGTTTCAAAACAAATGAAATAACAAAACCAAATAATTACAAAGACGAACAAGTACATTACAAAATCAAGCAACTAAGTAACAAAACCAAAGCCAAAAAGTTATAAAATCTGAACAATAAAAAGTGTTTACAAACTCAAAACAGTGAAGTTACAGAATAATATGAATGAAACTTTACTCGGAACAAGCTGAAAAAAAAATTAGGAAGTCAGTTGATTTTAAAAGCATTCAGTTTAACCTTCAGGCATTTTCTTTTTTTCTAAAATTTTGATAAAAAGAAAGAATAAGATGATCAATACTTTGCTCAACATCGACATTGCAGTCACAAAGTTTGGAAGGGCACAGCTTAAATCTGTTGAAGAACTCTTTAAAATTACTATGACCAGTAAGGAATTGTGTGATTTTAAAATTTGTAAAAAAGTGATCTCAAGACAGTCTTAGTGGAATGATCAGAAAAATTTCTTTGTTAGAAAAGAGTGAGTTGATTGCAAGTACTGAGTGTTCCAAAAGTAATAGTATTTTCTCCAGTATTTCTCTTTTAAAACGATTTTGGAATATTAAGTGGTATTTCAATTCCCCGCTTGGTTGCAGACTTAGCTAAGAAACAAGTAATACAAAAAAATTTTTTTTAAAGTCAATTCCTACTTAGGTCAACAAAGAAAATTTTTATTTTAGTTTTACTTTCTATTAAATAATTACAATTAATATAAATATGTATTTACATATGACACACAGAATAACAATATTAAGTGGCAAAATAAAAAGCGATTTTCCATTTTCCTTTCTATATATGGCGTTAGACTATTTTTTTGTTACTATTTATTCATTAACTAAATTTTAATTATTCCAATAAAATAGTATAGTAAAAAGAAATCACATTCTCAGAAATTAGGTCATCCCAGGTAGGCATCCAGCCCACGACCTTTGGATTAGAAGTCCAACGGGTTATCCATTGCGCGACAGGGACACAACGAGCGATTTTCCTTTTAATATATGATGTTGGATTATTATTTTTGTTTGTTAAAATTTATTCATTAATTAAATAGAATTAATTAATTAATATTTGAAAAAAACTGTAATAACATCAAGTGTCATCCACTACAAGGTTAAAAGAAATGTATTTGAACTTGAGTCGATGAATAAAAAGTATTTTATTAACGATTGAAAAAATTTGAGATATATATATATATATAATTAAATATATATAATTTAATCACAACTTAATAATCAATGAAAAAATTGAAATTATATGAAACTTATAACATTAAATCAATCCAATTTCAAAATATCAATGGCGAATATAGAAGATAAAATTCCAACGTTTTCAAACAAAATTAAAAAATTATAAAATAAAAATTTATAAAATATCCAAGCGCAACCTCGAACTTAGTACCGATAAGTGGGGTTAAACTAGTTTGATGGCGCCAACCTTCCCCCTATTGCAACTTGGTAAGTTAATCGGAAAATATCCAATTCTCAAAAATTTAAAAATTAAAAATTAAAAAATTAAAATTAAACCATTAATCTTGAAAAATTAAACTATTTGCTGCCATTGCATTCTGAAAGATATTATAACATTAAAATATTAAAATTCTAAAACAATTAATTGCACACTATAAGTGAACCATAGAACACCAAAGATGACGCACCCATCTTTAAAATAGTTGTATACGTAGAAAAAATGTCTAAAATCCGAAAGTTCAAATTAAAAACTCAGTATGTTCGCAAATGAATAGCGTAAATTATTAAAAGCTCACTAAAGAGCATCCTGTCAATAATTCAATTCACAATTTTTGAACGATTTTTCTCTCAAATTTAATACAACAATTACCACTCCTATATTTTGCTCATAGCTCCTATGATATATATATATATATATATATATAGGGAGATGGTCAACTATTAGTAGTAATTGAATGAGCTAGTTCAAGAATTTGGCTACTAAGTATGAATCAAAAATAGCTTTAATATGGTATTTTAAAAAATCCAAAGGTAATTGCAAATCATTCTCACCCCAGTTTCAACGGACCAGTTGCATCTGGGCTATTACATAGCAGCACTTATAACATCAACGCACACACATACGAATACATTTCATTTTAGATATAGAATTACTATCAAAATATGTGCTGCAAATTATTATTTTTGGCAATAAAATGAACTAATTTATTTTTAAATAATTCTGTTCTAATAAATAATCTTTCAGACTATGGAAAGATTAATGTTCCATATACAGAATGAATGATAAACACTTAATGCAATTCCCTAATTAGATGTTAATGCATAAGCCAATACAATCGACAGACAACCGCATATTGCAATCGTTTACTAAACAGAGACAATTCCCACTACTACGTTTAACAGTCAAATCGATGGATTGACTTCCGCCGTCCTTTAGGATTTCATGTAAATTGATCTTTGTGTGTTCGGACGTGGGGGTATAGATGGAAAAGATCCCCATTTAGCCTGAATCCATTTGAAATTGCTTTACCACAGCATATTTTGTGAATGGACACGCTCGAAGGAAGAGGGGAATCATCCGGGTGAATAGAATACAATGACATTAAATCGGAAATAGTCATTTTAACTGTAAGCATCATTTCCTACTTTCATTCATACCCGAGATGAAACGGAATTTAGGGAAAAAATAGTAGCATTCAATGCTTTGTGTGAAATATTTAAAACCACCTTTGAGCACATTAACTCCGTCGAAAAAGTTTTTTTTTTGTGTGATAAAAATAATCCTTTGAGTTTTTTGTAAATATATTTAAAAAAAAAAAGATGAGGTTACTTACTTTCTTTGACCTGTAGTAGAGATGCAAAATACCTGGGTTGATGCTTTATATTTTTCAGACGAAAAATTAAACGTAATATATAAGTATTTTGAAAATAAATGTATCCAATAGTCTTTTCTTTTATAGTGACTGTTGCAACATTTTAATTCAATTACTTTTATTTTCAAAGTTCATTATGACTTTAAGTGATCAATATTGTGATAAAAAAAATATAAAAGCTTGAGCATGTGCGATAATCTGATCTATTGATGCATATTCCTTAAAATTTAGTCTTGATTTTAACTACGGGACCCCGAATGAAGCTAAACATAAACACAGAAGGCGGGTTAAAGTATTAAAACCATATCCTTAAGTTTATGATAAACAGAAAAAAAAAATTATATTCTTTTCAAATATGTGAAGAAAATGTAAACTGCAGTTAAAAATTCATGAAAACGGAAAAGTGTTCCACACAGATACAAGTTTCTCAGGTTCCAACAATAATTTGCATCAACTATTATGGTAGAAGGGATTAGTTTATAACTCTGGGAAAAATTAACTACCTTATAATACAAAACGCTTTTAACCCTATCTTATAATTAAACACTTAACACACATACAAGTACACTTTTAATACAAAAAATAAGACCAAAATTTACGAGTGCATGATCAATGTAGGATATAAAAATGATAGGTATAAAATTAAAGAAAATATAACCATACAAAAATTAGATACCTACATGTATCTAAATACTGTCTATTTAAAAGAAACGGGGGGCACACATTTTGAAATTTAACTATTGGTTAACATGAAAAAAATCGCCTTATATATATTCATCTAGCTTTTCATATATTTTCATCAAATTTCTTTTTCTTTTTTCATCATCACTGTTAACCGGATTCATAAATAAATAAAAATGTTCCACCCTGTCCAGATTTTTTCATATACTATATTTTTAAAATTATATTTTATTTATGCCAGGTTTAAATTTATTCCATACTTTAATTATCTACTCACAAACTATTTCTCGACTTCGAAAGATAAGAATATTGCATTTGTACATTTAAAATTTTTTCGTAAAAGAAAGATGCACGTAGTACGAGAAATATATCTAAAATTTAAAAAAATTCAGTTTGAAAGTATAGATGCGTGTTATACGCCGGAATGTACGATATCCCCCCTCCCCTTCATCAGAATATCTTCTCTTTTCCAATATCTTAGAATGCAGTTATATACTAAACTAAAAAATGCAATTCTCTTCAGTTCTTAAGTATTTATACAAACAATTTCAATAAACGAATGTAGATTTCTGAATGAAATAGAATTTATATAAAATAGTAATTAAATCACTTGGAAAATATAAGACTAAACACAAGCGTGACCAGTTCTTACAAATTTTGCTATTATTCCTTTATCGTCACTGTGTGTACAATACCTTTTTTATTAATTATGTACATCATTTGAATTCTTCTTAGTTTATTTCAGAATAATATCCCTGAATTGTTTGTCTAATAAAAACTGAATTTAAAGAGGAATGTTAGAAAATTTGCTTTTGAAAATTGCAGTTTACTAAATAATTTCTTTTAATATTTAGTTTTGTAATCAAAATATGGCAGCATAAATTCTTATTTTAAATAATACGTGACAAAAGGCACATAATAAGGCTAAAATAGTATTTCAGTATCCTCCATAAATTTTCTTTATTCAATGATATATGTATATGTAGTTTTTATTTATATATAAATTTGAATAAAATAGCTTAAATCCCCTGTCGAGACTCATATTGATGCGATTGTGAATAACATTTGGAATTTCACGAAATACGCATATGCAGCTTGTTAAGTTATGTGTTAATATTTTTTTTTTTGGAAATATTTCCATTTACTTAAAAAAGTAGGGAGTTATCTAATATCCAGGCAACGAATTTATTTTTGTTAGTCAAAAAGAAACTATGGCTATATAAAACATTTATTAATTATATTAGATTAAAAAACGATTGAATTTATTTGTATGAATTTATTTATTTAGAAGAATACTATTTTTGCCTGATATATCGTATTGTGTGCACTCATATAAACATTTATAATGTTCATTCAAAGGAAGAGAATTCAAAAAAAGTTCTTTACGAATCTCAAGAATATTTGGAAGGACTTCTATAAAGCTAAGGAAAAAAAAAATATCATCCATTTTATATCTATGAAGATCTGATGTCTGTGACTAAATTGTGACTAAAAGCAAAAGAATTCGTTTTCTGAGGATTTCAGAGCAAGAAATAACGACATTCTGAAGGCTTTTCATTGCATTGTTGAACAGTGATATTTCGAAATTTTATGAAAAGAAATAATAATAATAAAAATGTGACGCTGTATCCTTTTTTGCGCTTTATCTTTAAGTGTTTTTTTCAACATGGGTGTCAAGATTATGGAACATTCTTCGAGTGAAAAATTTAACTTTCTGTGAACAAAGGATAAAAATTCGAAGACTGGCTTTGAGTTATCCTTTTTGTATTATTCTTATAAAGTAAAAAGTCAGAGAGCGAAAAACTGTACTACATTGGGAAAACACATAGAATAGTATATATCTAGTAAAGTTCGTTTCGATTAAGAATTGGAAAAATAAGTAATTTCATAGAAATTCTAGTTTGTTTTTTTTTTCAAAAATATTTCAATTAAGAGAATCAGTTATAATGCATTGTTTTAATCATGTTATATTTCACTTTTTTTTTATAAATTCTTATTTTTTTAATCCTATATTTTACAGACAATGCTTAAGAACATCATGAAAATTAATTTCTTCTTTGTATTAAATAAGTTTTTTTTGAATCTGTTATAAATTTTGAATACTTTTTTTTATGCATCTTTCATTTATAACTATAACAGCTTATTTATTCATAGAATTTAATGTGTAACTTGATGCAGTGTAAATGTATTTATTCAAGATTATTTACTGTACTAATAAATGCATTTTATCAAGCCATAAGTGTTTATCATAATAGTTTGTTCATTAAATATTTCAATTTAAGGAATTTGAAAATTTATTTAATGCTTTTTCAGAATACAATTTTTTTTTTACTTATAATATAACAGTTTGTAAATTTTTAAGAATATTTATGAAGAAATTTATTTAAATTCTATCACACATATACAAAAATATAATTAGTTTTGCAAAATTAAATGGTATTTCTACTAGGTA